GACAGGAGGAAATTTCTGATTTTGTTGCTCATAAGGGAACACGCAGACAAATGCCAGAACAAAGCTGAAGGACCTCGGTGGGAGCACAACCTGCCTGTCCTGGTCAAATGTGAGGTTTTTGAAGGAATCAGGATGGGTAGAAGGGATACGAGAAATGAAGTGGTCCCTGACAAAGGAGAGTAAAGGTGACTGAAAACAGCCAGCCCTTGTTTCAGATCAACATGGATCAGTCTGCATGGGAGGTTCTCAGGGCCATTTGAAATACTAATGACAAAGAAATAAAAATGGAGGAGTCTGGCGTTATAGAAAGTCCACCCCCATTTGTTAGCTATCTGCAACACAAGAGACCCTGCTCTATTCTCATTTTCACCCATGTCAACTTGGTTTAATTCTGCCAACATTGACAGTTACTCCAGTATTAGCTACTATGGAAGGTGCTTGGGTGTGCATGTGTTAATTTTGATGGAATAAATGAAGCCCGAGATCCCAACAGTGGGTTGGGAAGGGGGTTATACAGTTTATTAAAGGCACACAATTGGATTGTTGGTGGGGCTTTGCATTATTTATGGGCTGTGACCCACAGAGAGGGAGAGGGTTGTTTGTTGGCACTTGGTGGTGGTTTTTTCTATGGAAGGTGCTTGGGTGTGCATGTGTTAATTTTGATGGAATAAATGAAGCCCGAGATCCCAACAGTGGGTTGGGAAGGGGGTTATACAGTTTATTAAAGGCACACAATTGGATTGTTGGTGGGGCTTTGCATTATTTATGGGCTGTGACCCACAGAGAGGGAGAGGGTTGTTTGTTGGCACTTGGTGGTGGTTTTTTTTTTCAGACATATTGCCTTTTTATGGGAACTTTGCTTTTCTGTTAAGGTGGCCATTAGCATTCAGTTGTAGGTGTCTATAAATTACAATGTTTTGATAGAATCATATTAATAAAAGGACACCTGATCCCATCAGTTTAGCTGGTGGGAAATGCTGACATGACAGGCTGGGGCACTGTACCTGCTTCGGTGACTGTGCGGTAGCAAAGATGGCCTTATTGCTCCCTGGACTGAGCTGGAGGGAGAGTGACAACCCAGTTACCAGCTGAACTCCGAGGTCTGTAATTGTCACCTTCTCATCCATAACGGTCACGGTCTTCTCAGCCAAGATGGCATCCGAAAGAGGGGACAGTATCTGAAAAGGGATATTGCTATTAGTGCCGGTTGTTTTTGTGTAGCATTCGGCACAACAGCATCCCTAATGAGGCTTCTGGTGCTACTTTAAGTCAAAGAAATAATACATTATCTTACTAATTAGTGCACACATTTAATATTAAGGCTATTTTTACACATTAATAACAAATGATAGGTTAATACATGGTGTCCTAAATCGATATAAAGCCTAACATGTAAATAGGCTGCTTACAAACATATACAGTAATTCCTCATTTAACACTATAGATATGTTTCAGAAAATGATAGTGTTAAGTGAAAACATGTTATGCAGGGTCAATTTTCCCATTGAAAATAATGGAAAAGGTGGTGGTTGCATTTCAAGCTGTGGTGTCTGTTGGGACCAGGACATAAGACTGGGGGAGAAAGGGGACTGGGTTACAGCAGGGAGGGGAGGTGACTGACTCTGGGGAAGGGAAGGAGAGGAGAGGGAAGGGGGATTGGGTTGGGAGCATGCCCCTGTGATGGGTTTGCTGGGACCCGCACTGCGTCTGGTGAGGGGTCGCCGGGGAATGCCTCCGCCGCTTTGCAGGGAGGCGGGGGAAGCCCCGTGAAGCCACCAGCGATGAGCTAGCTAGGGAAACACAGCTTCAGGCCTGCAAGCAGGGGTAGAGGAGATTCAAAAAATGTTCCCTAAAAAAAAATTGTGCTATCGTGAAAACGTGTTAAGCGGGCACATGTTAAATGAGGAATTACTGTATAGCACTTTGTATCAATGTGCTGAATTCAAGTCAATCACAGGGATTAGTTTCAGCTGGAAAAATATTTCCCAGAAATGAAAAAACATTTTGTTATGACATTTTCAGAATGCATCATTTTGAATTTCATTTCAAAATGATGTTTGCAATATTTCGTTCAACTTCATGCATTTTTGAGATTTGGTTCTGTGATACAAACAGTTTCAGTTGATTTTTTATCCAGATTTTTCAGTACATCCCCCATGCTGAAAAATCATTTTTTCATTCTGTTCTCTTTAAATTAACCCTTTGTAAGTTCATTGTACATGTAACCATAATATTAAGTACAATTTAATTAGTAATAATTTAAAAAGTATGTTGTTCCTAGTGTGGGAGAGAGGTGGAAAAACTTTGTCATAAGATTCTATCACAACACAATTTGTAGAGGATCTGTAGAATGAGTTTTATTCCAAATTCTTACCCTGGGGAATTAATGGATAAGAGTGCATGGAAGAAAACTCCTGTGACAATGGGAGGGAAACATACAAAGGAGGCTTGTTAGGATGAAAAGGGATCTGAATACACTGAATAGAAGTTACTGGACTGAGAGAGCACTAACCACAGGTTTGGATTTAGAAGAGGACTTAGTTTAAGCTTGTGTGGTGGGCTACACTTTCCAAATCTGCTCTTAAAACTTATTTTGCTATCAGTTTCTTTCCCTTTGAATTCCCTTTTCAGAGTCACTCAAGCTATTGATGTACACTTGGAATGAGCACTGCAAGTCCCAGCGCCTTGAAGCCTATAAAGACTTTTTATTGAGGCTCCTGGTCACAGAAGACTCAGAAACCCGCTTCCCCAGGACTGACAATCCGTGCAATCAACATATGCAGATGCAGATTTCTACTGGGCTGTCCTGAGAGACTGAGGTCATGAGCATATCTGGGGATGGGAAGAAGATTGTCTCCCTATTAGCCCTAGTGCCTTCTGATAGGAGTAAGTATAGGAGATTTATCATTTCAGTTGTGGGATCCGACTTCCTGATTCAGTGGATAGTTTACCAGATCAGCTGTTAGCATAGCTAGCTTCATGGTATTTTGGCTCTGCCACTGATTCTCTGTGATGTTGGGTAAGTCACTTAACCTCACTAAGCCTGTAAAATAGAATTAATGTTCCACATTCTCTGCTAGTGTTAATTTGCATAGATCCACTGAAGTAAATGGAACTACTGCAACAGAAATTTGGCCCAATCACACTTAACCTCATTCTTTCTAATGCACTTAGAGATGCTTGGCTGGAAAGCACGATCTGAGCACTTATTGCGATCTCCCTGTAATGTTTATATCCTGTAATACAAGTTGAATTTGCATGATTTCAATCCCAGGGTTTCATATTTCATATTTCCATTCTGACTCTTCAATCTGCCCTAGTTAATATCAGTTTAACCGCTTTGCTTTGCCACTTTAGGCTTGAGAACATTAAGTTATTTCACCAGCTGCCTCCCATGTGATATCTCCAGTTGTGGATTTGATATCAAAAAAGTATTAGTCAAATGGAGCAGAAATGGGGACTGATGTTACCTGAGCGGGGATAAAATTAGAGAAGCCTGTTATCCCCAGGCTTGAGGGCACAGGCTGATCAACAGCTGGGGGAAAAAAAGCAACAGTCGTGTTCCATCCGCCTCCCACACACTGTAAAGTATTGCACCCGGGAATGTAGTATGTAGGTTTTACATTTTTTGCTGAAATAAACGGTCTTTGCTTCTGTTGCAGAAGGGGCACTGTGTTCAATGGCAGCATTCCCGTGTGTTAAAATGTCAACTTTTATGGGTGGACATAGGGCTGGTGACAACTCTTGAGATGGAAACCCTTTTATTATCTGTAGGATAGACATAGCTGGGGCATTGTTCATGCAACCTTCTCTGCCCACATGCCTCAGCCATGACTCAAAAGTTCACCATTTCTGGGGGAGAGGGTTAATCAGCTTCAAGCTAATTATTCAGTCTCTGCCCTCTCCATTGAGGCTGCCAACAAGGGGGCATATTGGTGGCTGCTATGGTGGTTTGTAGAATGTGGACACAGTGCATGCCAGTAGAATCACAGCATCACTAATTTTTGACATAGGACAAGTAGCCATTGGATGGTAAAAGTTTTCCGGCACTACCCACTCAGGCCAGATTCAAACCCAGGATCAAGTGGAACAGCAAAAAGCTTTGTATTCTTCCCAAACCTAAATCCTCATTTCCTATCTAGGGTTACGTCTAGACTATAGGCTTTTGTCGACAGGGCTTTGTCGACAGATTCTGTCAACAAAGCTTCTGTCGACACAGAGCATCTAGACTACATCCAGTTCTGTCAACAAAGCAAGCCGCTTTGTCGACATGAGAGTGTAGACGCAAAGGACAGTGTAGATGCAATAACGCCTTCTGTTGACAGAACTCTGTCGACAAAAGGCGTTATTCCTCGTAGAATGAGGTTTGCCAATGATGACAAAACTGCTGAGTCTAGACACACCCTAAGAGTCCCTTGAGACCACGGAACCAGAAGAGTTCAGCTCGTGATGCGGGGGGAGAGGAAAGGTTGGTGTGTCCAGTTATAAAGAAAAGAGCAACTTGTAAAATTCAGATCCAGATACAGGTTTAGTTTTCAACCTCCTTCCCGATCCAGCTCTGAGGATGTTGGATCTGGGGCAGTTTGGCTTGACCCTATTGCTATGCTCCTGTTCCTAATGCAGGGTGTCACCTGGCAATGACTGCCAAGTTCTGTAAGTAGGGCAGGGTAAAGCCTGAAACACCAAGGAGAAGGAGAAGGGGGAGCACAGTAACCAGTTTTCCCTACCTGAATTGTCGTCATTCCGAGTTCCTGCCCAATCAAAACCTGTCCACCTTGCAGCTTAGCGATTCTGGGCTCCTCCACCTGCATGAAGTCACTCACCAGCTCCGTGATATCAACCTGCCAGTCAGAGCCCAGCAAATAGCTTAGCTGGCCACCTGAGTCGGAGGGTTCAGCGACAAACTGTGTTAGGACTCGCACCATGGCATGCTGGTACTGCAGGGTGCAGCCTCTGCCCTTCCGCTCATCCTCTTCTTCATCATCGCTGTCTCGAGCTGGTCTGGTAAAAGAACAAGATAAAAAATATCAAACCACCAAAGGAATATGTCATGTGCCATGCTGTAACAGCTTGTTAAGCACTGCGAAAGGCATTCAATCAGAGATGCTCAGCTCTTTCCTTTCTCTTGTCCCCCTGACGCATCCAGGTTATGCCCACTCCTGCAGCTTCTTCCCCTGGAATATATCTGACATCTGTCATATTCCCTCATTTCCCCCCAGAATTATGGTAGCCTCCTGGTTTCTTTAGCCTTCATAGCACCCAGAAGGCCCAAACCCTTGGGTCACACATAAAATCAGCTGCTAAAGTCACCTTTTTTACCTGCACTTCTGAGCACACCACCTTTCCCCCATCCTCTTGGCTATCTCCAGTGACTCCCCATGTCAAGTCCAACATTCTCATCTTCACCTTCACACCTCTTACTCCATGATTCACCCCACCCTGTCTATGATGCCAGACTCGTGTGTGCTTTGGTCAGCGACAGTCACAAACATCTCCTCCAACCTCTTACTAGCTGCCCATATCAACAGCTGCAGTTAATGCCCTCGCTGAATAGGTCTGCAAGGCCACGTCTTCAAACCCTTTCCTCAGAACCATTCTACTGTGACACTCCCAGGAAACCAGTCAATAAATGAAGGGCACATGACAACAGTTCACATTTAATTGATTTGCTATAATTGTAATTAATAACTTTGTTTATATAAATCCACATCTCTCTGGCACTATCCTTCATGTGCTGTTTGTCTTCATAGCATCTGCCACAATAGGGCCCTGATCCTAATTTGGGCCTACTGTAATATAAATATGGGATATGTAAGAGATGCAGACAGAGTTAGCAATTATTACACGTAATAAATAATTATTAACAAAAAAATAAGCAATGGTATCCCATGTATCAGGCCTCAGACCAGACAGATCTGGTCTTTGCTGCTGTCCTGCAATATGCCACATGTGAAAACACTGACCCTGCCTCTCCTGGCCAACAAGCAATTTCCATTTAAGCCACTAGTGCTATAAAAGGAAATTGATTTTCAGTGCAGATCCATACAATCTGTGGTTCCCGTTGCCCTAATAAGTACAATCCGACAGCTGATTGAATAAATGCCTGGTGACCTTCAGGTTTACACCGGAATTGCATTAAGGCCAAATGAGTGTGTTCAGATCCGCTGGCCCTGTCAGCCACTTGGAAAGTGTATAACCCAGACTGAACATTCACTAATGAAACCTACCTCTTATTAGAGAGGATGGGGACCCTCCACCCCTTGATCTGGTTTAATTCTGTGTCAGAGATCTCTATCTGTAGTGGGAGGCGAGGAACCCAGACAGTCAATTCTAGTGAGGCAGTCAGATGCTGGTAAGTAAAATTAACAATGACATTCACTTTGCCTTTCATTTCTTTCCCGTTGACAAAGACATAGTCACATCTGTCAGAAACCTGTAAAAAGGGAAAAGGGGAAAAAATTAATGAGTTTCTGTCCAAAATTATAAAGCTCTCCCCCATGTTGAGTGAGTGGGAGGGAAGGAGAGATAGATTTTGGGTTTGAACTAGTTCCAAACTCTGAGGACAACTAGCAGCATGAAAAGTCTTGCTTTGCTATTAGCAGTCTGCATAATTTAGCAACACTTGTGAACAAACAGGCTTTTCCTGCTATAAATATTTCCAGTGTGAATTATGATAAAAGAACAGCTCCATTCTCTTCCCAGTCCCACCACTAGGAGCCATGGCTCTGATTCTGATCTTGTTCTGGCTCTGATGCTTGTCCACTATATCACAGTCCTATCCCTCAATAAGTCAGATTAAGTTCCCCATCCTCATGTTTGGTGTGAGTCTAAGGAACTGTACTGTAAACATGTGGAAAGTCAGATGGGTGGGTGCTAGCACAAGCAGGGGCAACACAAGGGAGACACAAAGGGTCACACCCCCAAATACTGCAGGGTGAGAGACAGGGGCCAGCTGTTGGGACTAGTGGGGAGCCTGGTGGCAGCAGCAGCAGGGGTCAGGCCCACCACTGCACTCACTGGCAGTGGGAAGAATTGGAGTGACTCAGCCCCAGCCTGCTTCACTCCCTGGCTCCCAACGTCACTTGCAGGGGAAACTTGGGGGGAAAAGGGGTGGAACTGCCCCTGCACCCACCAGTGGCAGGAAGTGGAACAATGCAGCTGGGAGTGAAGAGAGAGCTGGGGCTCCCCCCCCTGCCACTGCCAGAGAGAGGGAGAGTGGGTGTGTATGTGTGTGTGTGTGTTGCCTAATGGGGGCTTAGGAAAAGGGGTGAAATGGTGGTGGAGCAAGGGAAGGAAAGGGGAGAGAGGGTGGAGCAAGGGCAGTAGGGTGGAAAGAGATGGGTGGAGGGAGTGTTGTCCCAGGCCCCACAGTCTTCTAGGGACAGACTTTCCCCAGGCTAGGTATGGCATGGGGAGGATTCACATGGGGGGGCGATCACATGGCCAGTGTCCCCTCTTGTGTCCCTCTCAAGATATTGAACAGAAGGTGCATTTCCCTAATCTGTTCTGTTGTGATGTCCTGGCAGGAGTGGATTGGTCTGGCGGGACACCGGGAATTTCCCGGTGGGCCATCGTCTAAAGGGCCATCGTGTCTGCACCCCATTGCCCCTCACTTCAAGCGGCTCCTCATCTGTGCTGTATGTGTCACGCAGAGCCCAACGCGCCGCCTGCGCCGCATGCCGAACATGATGCAGAGGGTGGGGCTTGAGGGGCACGCAGGAGTGATGTCCTGGGAAGGCCCGTTCTCAACCCATTTCCCGGGCCTATTTTGATTGCCAGTACGCTCCTGTCTCCTGGAACGGTGACAGCAAGCAGCATTAATGATTTAGTAGGTAGCACTCTCCCTCTGAATCAGTACTGGCCCGACACTAATGAATGACACCAGGGGTGCCTGCTTTGGGGGGGTGTGTGCCACATTTCAGAGAAGACACAAAGCTGGCCAAGTATGTGAGATTGTTTTGTGCATGTCTGTGCAGCAGTGTGGACAGCTTTTAGACCTTTCATGCTTCCTCTGTGGCTTCCCTTCTCTCTCTGACCTATACTGGTCCTCTTTCCTCTATGTCTGCAATGTCTTTAAACAGCCCCAAGTCCCTTGGTCCCAGCACATCTCCCTGTTCTTGCACCACATTTCTCTCTTCAATAGCTTCCCAACCTTCCCCTGTGTGGATGAATTTTGGGCTCTGTTCAAACCTGGCTTTGCTTGCCCAGTGTCCTGCCTCATACAAAATCCAAGAGACATGTAAGTTATTCTAAGGTAGTGCTATCTTTGACTTCGGTGGGAGTTTTGCCTTAGTAAGGACTGCAGGATCTAGAGTCCCTCCTGAGGAATAGTAGTGAAACGGAGTTGGAGGCTCATGACTAAAACAAATCCAATGTACTGGCATTCATGGAGCTGCGATTAAAACAAGATAATGTTTGGGGGCTTTGAAACTTTTTTTCCCAGTTTCACAAGGGCTAAGAATGCATTTTTAGGTCAATATCACAGAGTAAAACCAATGAAAAGCCAACAGAAGATGCCATTTTGTTGTTCAACAGAAAAAAGGGGAGATTTATAATTCATTCATATTTAAAAGCATGTACTCATGGTGTCAATAGGGCTCCATTTATCAGTTTAAGGTCTGAAATCTCTCTTGATACAAAAAGCTTCCAAAGCGGATTGAAAAAAGTTTCACTGAAACACGTTCAGACAGGTTTATTACAATTTATTGCATGGGCAGTTCTTTGAAAGACTACACTTGCTAAGGATTATTTGATATTAGCATTTTCCCCTCAACCTCTCCTTAATAAAGAACAGTATTTTTGTATTTTAAAAAGCTGAATAAAATAGTGTCTTGACTAATGTATAGCATGAAAGGTAGGATGAATTGTTGTTTGTTTCATGAAAAAAGTGTATAAGTACATAGGGTCGGAGGGGGAGAGGAAGGACCAGACTTCTGTCTGAACCACTTCTGAACTGTGGTAGTTCACATGAAATGGAACTCCTGTTCCCTCTAATTTTTCCATCCATGTATGGAATAAATTTTGTTAGGTGCACTGAGGTACCTGTGGATGTTCACCACAAGTAGAAACACATGCCTCCAGTTGTGGACACTCTGGGAGCTCTGCTAGTCAGCTGGGTGGCATTTGAATCTCTCTTGGGTAGCCCCCCAAGTGCTCAGCTTATCCATGACCTTGTAAACCCAAACCTGAAGTCCAATGTCCTTATTCTTGACACTTGAGTTAAAGGCTCAATTGGGCAATGACTGTTCCCTCCCTCCTGCTGGCACACCCAGCTCAGTAACCTATGGGATCTGCTGTCTTTATAATTTCTTTCCCTGAAAGAAGAAAGCATCTGCTCAACCATCTAACGATGCCTTTACTTCTTCAAACATGACCTAGAATCCATTGGCTGCAGCAGCGCTCCAAAAGAGTACAAATGATAGTACAAAGGCTTCTGGGAGGCTAAGGCCTTGCTGCAACCAACTGAGCACAAAGAATAAAAATGTGGGACTGGCCAGCTGATGAGCATCCAAGGCAGTCACCATGGGGCTCTTGAAAAATAATACCCTAAGCAACCACTTATCTCTTAGGCTGTCCCAACGTGCTATATGGATTGATAGCAAAAGGTTCTATGTTAGCACAGTTAGGATCTGCCAAGGAAGAGATGGACTCGTGAGTCCACAGTTGACCTCAAGACAGGACACCTCTGCTGTCTAAAAGCTCAAACCTACCTCATTATTGTGAGTGTGACATCCATTTTACACAATGTCCTTCCAAACCATTTCTGATACTTTATTCATAATAACCTGTGGCTCTGGCCATCAATACTGCTGAGAGTTACTAAATCTCATTCAGGCTCTTTGGCAGCTACTGCAGGAGTCTAGGTGAGCCGACAAGACCTGTTCATTACAGCTAGTTAAAATATATGAGTAAATGTACATGTCAAATAATTTATTAACTACCACTTTACAGTGCTGATGATCTGAAGGAATGATCTATTAAAACCCTGAACTCTTTTCACAATCCATTACCAGCCAGACCTTCTTTTCCATTACGTGGATATATTTAATATTTCTGACTCTTGTATGCATAATCTTGCACTTACCTGAATTTAATGTCGTTTTCTATTTTTGTTTAAATGTTGAGTGAATTTAAATGTTATTTAAATATCACCAGCTTTTGTGGCACAATTTACATCCCCGGTGTTTTGTTTTTCAATACCAAAGATCAATATAAAGGGTTTAATAGCAAACCATTCCACATTTTTTGTGTCTGTACCACGGCAAACCTGAAAAAAAAAGGATCCTGAAACTGCATTGTTCATTACTTGCTCTAGGATGCTTAACTTGTTGGTAAGATCAGAGGACACATCTTTTCAAGCTGAATTCTGTCCTCCCATACAGTTTCCAGGTGAGAATGATAGGCAGAATTTGTACTACTACAAATATCTAGAAGCCAAATCAAGGAGCAGCTCCTGGGGTGCTAGTGGTTGTAGAGATAAGTGAAAAAAAGAGGCTAGGGAGTGCAACTGCAAACAGAGCTGAGTTGAGGGTGGGGAGAATCAGTAAAGCTCTGAGCCATGCTGTGTCTCAGGTTGCAACAGAAGGGTCCAGTAAGAGCTAGAGGAGAGCACCGAGCTCAACATCACTTCAGATGCTGCAGCTTAGTCCCTTCCCTTTAGCTGCATGGACGGATTCTTGTATGTGCAGGGTTGATTCCATCCCATGGGCACTGGAAGAGCGCACTCCTTTGCGGCTGCCTCTATGCAAGCAGCACAATGCTGCCTGGAAGTCCTGTGCTCCCATGACTTGCATCATTCTTCTCACCCATATTCTACAGTGTCTTGTCTACTAGACAGGAAGGTACAGGGCCCTCAGGAAGTGACTGGTACCCCTCCTTCACCTCTCACCTCACATTACCTTGCCTCTGCGGGAGAGGATCCTCTATTCCCTGCTAGCAATGCATGTTTCTCCTAATCCTTCCCTGTGTTTTAAGTGATGCTCTGACACAGAAAATCTCTGGTGGCTAATGAACTTCATCTGCCGCTTGCTGGCTCACTTTTTTCCTTGGGATTCCAGGGAGGAGAAAATTGGACAAAGCCTCAAACCACACATTACACTTGAGCCATGGCAGATCAAAGTTCAAGCTAAGGTGGCCCTGAGGAAAATAATCAGCTTGGGAGCTGAATGCCTCATGTACGTATCTTGCCTCCACACACTGAAGGCCAGATATTGACTGCAAATGAATGGCCTGGAGATGGGGATTTTCCTTTCTCAAGCTTGAGGCCAGTGTGTTAGCTTACAGCTCACTTATGATGAGTTATAACAAACAGTTACACAGCCTTAATGAATGAATGCATCGGGGAAGCAATTAACCACTGATCTTCATTTCCCAGAAGCGGAAGCTTGGGCAGAGAAGCTAAGTGTCTCCCAAGGCCACAGAGCTGGGACTAGA